TTATTAAGAGAAAATGTGTACAATATATTATAAGTTTTGTTAAATAGATGAGAAATAAAAGAAAATATCTAAAACTGTGTAAAGTCTATTCCCTCAAATAAATGACATACCCACCTTTAATTCAGCGAGACTTAGACCGGAAATACACATTTGGGGCAAAGTACATCGAGTTGTATATTTTGAAGGGGACAGTCTCATTTTTGTTTTTTGATGGGGAAAAGTGCAAAAAAAAAAAGATTCTTTTTAGGGGGCAAAGTGCAATTTTCCCTAAAGGTTTTTATATTAAAAGTACCACTTACCTTATTCCCTATTTCATGTATTACTCCAATAATCACTTGTTCTATGTCTTTAATTCTTTCTATCATTGAGAAATTATGTAAGCTTCCGTGGATCATTAATTAATTTCGCATAAAAACGCAGTGAAATAAAAATAATGATTCTTTATAAATGTATTACATATAACAGTAACATATGTTTAATTTCTTCAAAAATGACATCCATTTGTGGAATTTATGTAATTCACCTTCCAAAAAAATGTATATTGTTGAAAAATGTAACATTAGTTATTGTGATCATACAAGATATCCATTAAAATTTATGTTATTGCAGTAAAAAAAAAATTAATTGTGAATATTTGATATTTTCCCCACCAATTTGTTTAACACATTTTTCATTTATATCATACTAATTACAAATGATAGTATATGTATAAAAATGAATCTAAGTAATGAGTATTTAATGACAAAAACAAAAAGACCCTATTACTATAAACTGTCTCGCCGGAGCACAGGCGTACCAGAATTTTGAACTAAGTCTCTATTTGCAGCTAGCTGTTAGCATACACACAAAATCTCTTAGTTGATTTAGGAGTTAAGATCATTAAACGATAGTGTGAAACATGACCTTCATATATATTTTCTAATAAGGGTGGCTATCTTGTGGGTTTTACGGCACAAATAATGACTTTACGGCTGAAAGTTAATTGCAAGCAATTAATCAATTATGACATGTAAGAAATCAATAATTTTGTAATATTTGCTCAAAATATTATTCTTTTGTATAAGATAGTCATGAAACCAATAATATTCATCCTTCCATCCATATATAGTAACTTAGTTAAGTAACTACACATGCAAAAGATTTCCTGCAGCATGTCACAATTCCATGTCACAGTTTAAGAGTTATATTACAAGACAAGGGTAATTCACGAATTTGATATTTTGTGTAGTCTTTGTTACATAGACACGGCAATTTGATGGAAACGCGCGGAAACCCTTCAGATACTTCAGTGGGCCGTGTCTGTAATTTCCCAAAAGTTGGACACGCGTATCAGTAAAAAAAAACCTTTTTTTTTTACCAAGAAAAGCCTAAACTCAACTAAAAAACCCCTCTTTTATTCATTTTTCTCACATCTTATTATTCTAAGCCAGTAAGTTCACATGTATTTATTTGAATAACTTAATAAAAATTATAAGTAAACTGCATTATTAATAATAAAAGTAATTTTTAAAAATTATAAAATGTACCCCTATATTTTTTTATATTGACACGTATCCCCCACGTTCCCGTGTCCTGTTTTTTTTGATAAAATGTTTCCCCGTGTCCGTATCCACGTATCGCCGTGTCCCCGTACCTGTGTCTATGTAACATAGTGTGTAGTTATTTATGTTGTTATAGGTCATCAAAGATGCACAAAGAAATTACATATTCAATCAAACCTTTAAGCTGATGAGATGCCCCCACTTGGTGCCAAATTTTGATCCCTAAGAAACTAAAACATTCCAAATTGTTATTGAAACAATAATTTCGGGGTGGAGACTATTGACAAAGAAAAAGAATAAGTAGTACCTTGTGGTGAACCTGCGGTTAAAATGATATTTTCTAATTACTGTTAATTTACTTATTTGTCCTCCGTTTTTCATCTTACATAAGTATATTTTTGTACTTACAAAAAAGGGAAGAAATTACAATAGGATTCCTCCTTTTATAGATAGTATAGATAGATAAGCCAACTGTAAATGAAATTCATATTTATTGAAGATATTAATATTAAATGATACATTTCACTAATAGCTTAAGCTTTTGGTTGAATTTGGGTATTGCATTATAATTGCTTAGTTTTTTAGTCTCAGTTTGCTGTTTGGTTGATCAATTAATAAAACAAAATATCATAATCCCTTAGACCTCACGGTCAAAATCTCAAAACCTCTTAGAATGTTCTTCCCCAAATCAAAATCTCAGTATCTCTGGTTTTCTCGTTTTGCTCCATCGTCTCGCCGGGGTGGGGGCTAAAACACTAATTTGCGAATGTAAGTATTTCGGACAAAGATCCTTGCCCCAAGAATTGCTACATGCGGTGACTGCTGCGCCAGGAGTACTTCTTCTTCTTCTTTTTTCAATATTATTATTGATTTAATTTTTCATTCTTTTATTTTAATTTTTAGTGATTTCTTGCTCGCCCGCTAGAATTGAGAATTTCAACAGTTACTATGTTGTTCCCTTATATATATATATATATATATATATATATATATATATATATATATATATATATATATATATATATATATATATATAACTTAGTGCTAGAATTGAGAATTTTAATTTTTTATGTTCGATACAATTTGTTGTATTTTTGCACCTCGGGGTGGTTGAGTATCAAAATAATTCTCACTTTAATGCCTATATTGGAGGAGGAGTTTTTAATTTTAGAGTATCAAAGTGGTAGTTTTTTAGTTTGATACTTCATTTAGTGCCTTTATTGGAGTTGCTCTTAGGCAACTCACAAACTGTTATATTTTTCCAATCTTGGGTAACATGATGGTTGACATGTGACAAGGTGTGTGTTTGCTTATATGTGTAACCTAACCCAAATTGAGAACTGCAGGCGAAACAAGAATTTATACGGGGCGAAAACGGAAAGAGGTTGCAAGAATCGAGGATCAAGCAGGTCAAGATTGAATTCTCTTTTAGGATGGAAACGCAAACTTGCCTTGACAATTTGGAGGATTCTCCCAAAGTTGGCTGAGCATATAAAATCCAAATATGAACAGCGTCAGCAGACTATGGTCTCAAATTATACCTTAAGAACGGTGAGAGAGAGAGAGAGAGAGAGAGAGAGAGAGAGAGAGAGAGAGAGAGAGAGAGAGAGAGAGGGGTATGAACTTTGGGATGGCGAAACATACATGTTAGTCAATAATTAAGTTATTATTTTATGTTAATTATTGCTATGTAATCAAATTGGTTATTAATAGTTAATTTATAATTATGATTTACTTTACTTTTAAGAGTTTTTATGTAATTTCATTTCCAATGCGGGTATCGTACATTTTTTTCCTAGGTTCGTACTAATCCCCTAAGTGGCGCAATTCTATTGAAAAATTATGGTTCGAGAAGTACAACCCTCTCGAATCCTAGACAATCCCATGGAAGCTTGATAAAAATAGAACCTATATGTTTTGCTATTTAAGTTCCACAACGTTTGTTAACTGTAAGGCATTACAGTAGTCACTCGATAAATTAATATCCGATAAATTACTAACCTCACCTAAATAATATTTTTTCCATGTCCCGACTCGAGGATAACGTGCTAAATCAATAATTCGCCAAAATTTATAAGATAATACACATTCAAAAAATTTAAGAAGCCCCTTATAATATATAAATTAATAATGCATAAAAATAATTCTTAAATTGCATGTTACAATACATGTTTTATAGATCTATGAAGGCTTAATAAAATAAGACTTAATTGTGGCTTGTTTCTTATTGAAATTAACATCACCATCAATCTCATCCCTCATTTTTCTTAACATGGTTAGGACTTCTGATATAGTTTTCTCATAACAAAACATAAAATTGTTCGATACCATTGTTGCTTTAAGAGCTCTCGTTCGAGAAATGGACTCTATAGTACATTGAACTAATGGTACAATGAATAATATGTACGTAAATATATATATATATATATATATATATATATATATATATATATATATATATATATATATATATATATATATATATATATATATATATATATATATATATATATATATATATATATATATATATATATATATATATATATATATATATATATATATATATATATATATATATATATATATATATATATATATATATATATATATATATATATATATATATATATATATATATATATATATATATATATATATATATATATATATATATATATATATATATATATATATATATGTATATCTATATATATATATATATATACCTAGATATATGTATATATCTATTTCTAT